TCAGTGCTCTTCACACCCCACTACCAGGCCCCTTACACAAACTCAAATATTTAAAGTCCACCAGCACTGAATCCGTTCCAACTCACGGGGACCCTGCAGGACAGGGCGGAGCTGCCCCTGGGGGTCTCCCAGGCGGTCAGTCTTTATGGGAGCAGAGTCTGCTCTTTGTCCCTCGGGGCGGCTGGTGGGTTTGATCTTGTGACCCTGTCGTTTGCAGCCCCATGCATTTTTTTTAATCTCTTTAGTCCATCGTGGGAAACAGAAAGCTTTTTCCCAAGTCGTCTCCCCCAAATATATGTTAGACTCAGGACATTGCTGCAGCGGATGGTAAATGACTGTCAAGTGACCTCCCTGAAGGCCGTCAGTGGCCAGACTACAGTGTGGTCCAGCCAGAAATAGGGCCAACTCCCTGCTGATAAGGACAAGGGGCTACTTCTCCGCAAAGGCTTGTGGCCATCGTCTGGCCCCTGCAGATGGGATCACACCCTACTGATAATGGTTTCTATGGCGATCCAGAGAACAGCTCGGACAGGCTCAGTGACATCCAAAGTTGGGCTGCCATCCTGGATCTAGGATCCACCCTCTTGTTACAGGTGTGCCCCCAATCCCTCCTCTTCCTACTGCGTGTATGTCCCTAGATGGTCCCCCTCATTGCTGTATAACCTATAGTGCACCCCCTTCCTGTGACGTATGTCTTTACCTGTAAGTAGTGGGCTTGCACGTCCCCCAAAGGTATAGAGACCTGGGGTAGCAATACAGGCCCTCCTTGGCCTCTGGTCCGCTTCCCCTTCCTCACTCCCCATTCCTTTCCCCTGACCTCCTTCCCCTCCCCCTCTCTCCACGTGGACCACACAGCGGGGCTGAGGTGAGCATGCTACCCTGAAATGGGTCCGACTCCATTATTTCCACCTCTTGAACTTCTCATGCTCTCTAGAACTTTCCTATCATCTTTATGCATCTTAGCTGTACAATTGCACCTACCGAACCCCCGATTAGGTGGTGGGGGGGGGGCTGGCTTTCCCCCCACCGTCCATTCAAACTGACAGCCACCCTGCAGGACAGGCCAGAGCTGCCCCTGCGGGTTTCTGAGACTGCGAGTCTTTACGGGAAGCAGCCCACGGTCTTTCTGCAGAGGAGCCCCTGAGGGTTCCGAGCTGCTGACCCCCAGGGGACGGTGGCTTACAGCCCTGAGAGGCAGAGCCGTGGGGGGGAGTGGAAAACAGCCCCATCTCTCGCCTCCCACCTGCCCCACAAAAGCAGCCCTGTGCCAGGGCTCCTGGGACTAGCTGTCCCTGCAGGGCGTTCTCCTGCAGAAGGGAGTGAACGGAA